GGGGAGAGGGGTGGCAGTGCACAAGCACATTTTTTGATTGTGGGATTCGAGACACGGAAGGGGTTGAAATGGCTGTGAGGGGCTATGTATGCGAGTTTCGCGCGCGAGGAATCGGAGCAAGAGGAGAGGTTTGGGTGGGTGGATTGAGTGGATACGTAGTGTGAGTCCTTTGGCAACTGCCTAGGTCACATAAGGGCGAGAGGAGAGGGTGGTGGCTGGAAAAGAGAAAAGCAAGAAAAAAGTAAAAGCAGAAAGTAAAAACAAGGGAAGTAAGCGAGGAACCTGTGATCAATATGGACATCCCCATCTTTAAAGCTGATGTTTAGGTAAAGAAAACTGAAAACAAGTAATGTGAAGCTGATATTTAGGTAAAGCTGAAGCTTTTAGCTTTACCAAAGCATCAGTCTCATAAATACGGGAGCTTTACCGAAGCAACAGCATAAATACGAAAGCTTTAAGCGGGTGAAGAACCCGTTATTAGTAAAGGACTTCCCCATTCATGAAGCTGATGCTTAGGCGAAGCTGAAAGTCGAATAGCTGATGCTTAGATGAAGCTGAGAGCTGTGAGTTTTACCTAAGCATCAGCTTCATAAATAAGTTTGCCCCCTCTTCTATCCTGTCCCCAGCCTGTGCACTCTGAGTTTTATCGGGGCACTTACCAACCAACACCTCTCCTTTCCCCCATTCCCTCCCCCCCACCTGCGTGCAGCCCTCTCCCTCCTCCCCCCTCCTTTCCCTTCCTAACACACACGACCCAATAGCGGAACGTTGGGTATCGGTAACCGGCACATCCGACAGGTGCTGCTGACGGGACTTGCCGTGAAATAGCGTTGACGAGGATGTCACAGAGTAACACCGGACTCGACCCGAGTTTTAGTAATTGCCTTTTTACGGCGGAGGGGAAGGGAGAAGGGTGAGGGTGATCAAGTTCTCTGATCATCGGCCTTCATCTTTGCTAACTGCGCAGAAGCATCACACGTTCCAAGCCTTTGAAAGATTACTTTTTAATTAACAGTTAACCATTGTTTTAGGACGAGTGATCAATAAGGATCCAGCAGGCGAACTGCTTATTCAATTTTTTGATTATTATTCTCGCTTTGATTTCAGTGAAAATGCTATTTCAATCAAACGTGGCACAGTGGTAAAAAGGTGAATATTCTTAAAGATTTAGAGCCATGTATTTAGTAGGTTTTTAGCAGATTTAGAGCCACGGATAAGGAAGATCCGGTGAGTTGGAAACCAGTGCAGCAGCGCGACAGGCGAGCAGGGCTTCACGCTCAGCGGTACCTTCTCTGATATGGAGAACTCTGTACTGTTGTCCCGAGGTTTTGGTTCATAGTGCATCCATAGCTTTGTAAACTGCCCAACTTTATCCCTGTCCAAAAATCCTTAGCTTTTTTGCTGAAGAAGCCTGACCACAAACTGTCGGTTCTGCATCTACACAGAGATAGAAGCGGAAAATGTAAGAGTTACAGTTGTTACTGTCACAGGAATTTGTTTTTAATTGTTTTTCGTCAATTTTGTTTTCTGTACATGAGTTACATCAGTTTTCCCATAATGTCTTTTCGGCATATAGTGCAGTCTTTTTTACATTTCATTCGTTATTGCCATCATTATATTTGCCGAAACTGGTTTTTCCGATATCACTTATTTTATCCGTTATCGAAAAAATGATAGAAAGTTGTTGTTTCAGGGCGGGGTTGTTGGAAGACACGCAAATTTTCAAAATGTTTATCGAAGATCCATTCTCAGAGTGTAATGCATCAGCGACTGTGAAGCAAATGAGCGAACTGCTGAAAATCCAAGGAGCGTTTGATATTGCTCGAGATTCATTTGTCGGTCCTCACGCTAGAGAGCCTTTGCTGTCGAATATCCTTTGACTGGAATTCTTCAACTAACTGTGTTGATCTCAAGCCTGATTATATGGTGAAGAATATATGGGGATAACAGATCTGCGAAGCATATACTGAATTTCACACATTAGTTCCGGGCATTCCTTCAGGGGAATAGTTCCAGCGATATTGCTAGGATTATTTCTGTCGCTTTATAGCAGATCTGATAGTAGAATTTTAATTCGTCTTTTTTTTATCTGCAAAAACTTCACATGCATGCGGGTGACAGTTTCGACCTCCATAGCAACAACACGATCTTGGTATCTTGATGGTGCATAAAATGAGCTACTTTTTTTTTTTTTATTTGTTATTTCTGTTCTGGTATTTCATCCTTCACTTTGTTTCAGAATTTCTGCTTTCCGTCTTGCTTTTAATGATCGAATTCTCAGTTATCCCATAGCTGAATTCATTCACTCTGGATTCCGCTTTTTTTTCATTAGCATTCTTATCAGGGTCATGCTTTTAGTGCCTTCATCGATTTTGCTCCGGTTTTTTCTGCCGCGGGGGAGGGGCGAGAGGGGGGGGGGAACTGTTGTATAAACTTTGTGAAGAGAGGGGGCGGGGGAATTATTTTATTTTGAAGAAGCTAGTTACTAGACTGGGCCCGGTCACTCACTGTACACTTGTGTATGAGTTAGCGTACGGGCTGCGAAATCCGTAGTCGCGTATAAATGCCGCGTCTTTTGTTTAGGTGGGATTTTAGGTGTTGCGCACAAGCTTACCAACTTTAACGCAGCATCTGGTTTTTTGCTAAGCATCATAAACTGGTGCATTCCTCATCCTCTGCCAACAGTCACTGCCTCTGTTTCGAATTCTTCTAAGCAAGGTCCCAGCTTCTCTCCAGTCTATATCTCCATCCCTTTTTCTCTGCTAAAACTTCCTGAAACCTGAATTACCTCCTCCGGTCCTTCCCACCCCTCATCCCACCCAGCTATACCTTACCTACCATTTGAGGGGCAAACTTGCCTCCCAACCCGACCGGGCCGGCTTTTAGTAATTTTCTGTAAGAATAGTTTCAAAACTTTTGACTGGGACGCACCAGGTCTGCTGGTGTGTTCATGAGTATTTGTGGTAAACTGAAACAATAAAGTTGTTAACTGTTTCACTGTTTGCTGCTTTACACTTATCTTCTGCGCTCTCTAGCGTAAATCATCGTAAGCTTTGCATAAAGAATAATTAGACAGCGCACCGACTGCCCGTACGAAGATGCGTTTTTTGCATAGTTCCTCGCAAGTTTTTGTCACTAACGCCACTGTTTCTTCCAACGGATGCTTCTAGCTAAAAGAATTGGAACTGGCCACCACAACTGCTAGAAAACATCCCACTAAAATTTCAGCTTTTTAGCTTCTCTGGTTCCCTAATTAGCAACTTACTCGCGAAAAATCCCACAGACCCATGCGTGAGAACCACTCATACTTGAAGGCTGGGTCTGAACTCATTAAGTCCTGTGTGGATGAGGAACATCCCCTCAGAATTCCAGCTCTCTAGCCTTTCAGGTCCCTGAGTTAGCGACTTGCCCGCAAAAAGATTTCACAAGCCCGTACGTGGGAGCCACGCACACTGGGCACTGGTTTTGAACTTATCAAGTCCTGCGTGTACGGGGAACATCTCCTTAAAATTTCAGTTTTCTAGCTTTTACGGTTCCGGGTTAGCAGTTTACTCGTCAAAAGCTTTTGCGGGCCTGTACGTGGGAACCGCTTGGGTAAGAGCGTCCATTTTGGGAATAGGGGTTCGCACATATTTGTAGATTAAGTTCCTAAAGTTCCAGCCTTCAAGTCAATATGAATAAACAGCAACGCGCACCAGGCTAGCCGGTGCGATCATGCGTTTTGTGCAATTCAGTCCATCGAACGATTGCCTATTAATGATTTTCACTGCTTTGTACTTTATGCAAAAATAGTTCAAAAATTGGGACAGTTGAAAATTTCACGCACCAGCGCATGAAAGCTGAATTCGAAACCTTGAAGGATGAATATCTTCCCATGATTCCCGAGTTAATAGTTCACCCGCCAAAATCTTCACAAGGCCGTAGGTGGCGCCAGAGAGCGCGATGACGCTGAATTTGAATGGGCAAGATTGAGCGTGGGCAGAAGATCACTTCTCTAAAATTTCAGCCTCCGAGATATCAACTTACCTGTGAGAAAATTTCACGGGACCGTGCGTGTTACCCGCGGGTAAGGGAAGGCTGAATTTGAATGGGCAAGGTTGAACGTGGGTAGGAGGGTCAATACCGTACAATTTCTGCCTCCTAGGCTCCGTGGTTCCCGAGATATTAACTTACCCGTAAAAAACTTTCACTGGGCCGTACGCGTTATTCGCGGATACGGGGAAGCTGAGTTTAAATTTGCGGGGTCACACGTTTCACGGGGCCGTTTGTGTTACCTGTGGTACGGGGAAGCTGAATTTAAATTTGCGGGGTCACACGTACAGGGCCGTACGCGTTACCCGCGGGTACGGGGAAGCTGAATTTAAATTTGCGGGGTCACACGTGGTTAAAAAACTTTCACAGGGCCGTACGCGTTACCCGCGGGTACGGGGAAGATGAATTTAAATTTGCGGAGTCACACGTGGGTCGTGTTACCCGTGGGTACCGGGAAGCTGAATTTAAATTTGAAGGGTCACACGTGAGTGGGGAACGTCTTACCCGCGGGTACGGGGAAGCTGAATTTAAATTTGCGGGGTCACACATGGGTGGGGAACGTCCCCTAAATTTTCAGCTTCCCAGCTTTTGTGGTTCCCGAGTTGAAAGTTGCGGACAAGTTGCTGCGGATACACACACACACACACACAAACACACACAGACAACCCCGTGACAATATGTGTTTTGTACTGCTGTTACACAGCACAAAACGCATAAAAATCGGTACAGGCGAATACACACACACATACCGCTCGACAGTATGCGTTTCTGCGTTGCATAGATGCAAAAAACGCATAAAAATGAACTGTTTTTCTTGAATGTTCGTTTTGTGCTGCTCAGTGGGCAATTTTCCTGTCCTTCGAAACACGTATGCGTAGGGCCCGAATTTGAAATCTTTAGGTAAGGAACATTCCTCAAAATTTCAGTTTTTCAGCTTTGCTGATTCCAAAGTTAGCTACTTTCCCGCCAGAAATTTTCACGTGTTCGTACGTAAGGCTCAGACGTGCCTGAGGGTTAGTGCCACGACCTTGGGATGGTGTTACGACGATGAAGTTCGGATGGATGATGACGATGTTTGGTCGACAAGACGGACGAGGCTGTTCAGACAATGACGACGTTGCTAACTCAGCTTGGTGGAGACGCTGGGATAACCAGACAAACTTTATCAACACAAAAAAAGCACAGTCGAAATTTGGGTCGACTGGTTTAGGGCGAAATGCAGCGCCACCGCTGCTGACGGCCAACACGTTGAACAACTCCTAAACTTCAACACTACTAAACTTTGCAACAAAATCACACGCTTATATAATTATCACAAAGAGCGGGATAGATCGCAGGGGATCGAAATATCAGCCTGCGGTTCGATTCTGAAGTACTTTTTGGTTCTCGTGCGCGCCATCTTTTGCTCTCTTTCCAGCGGCAGTTGGCCGGTAAATCCACTGACGTTATCAGTAGGGTACTTCCCATGTATAAAGCTGATGTTTAGGTAAGGCTGAGCGGGTAAGGTTAAGCCGCGTAAATAAAACTGAGAGCTCTCAGTTTTACCTAAGCATCAGATTCATAAATACGGAAGTCCCTCTTCCCCTCCCTCACCCTACTGCAGACAAGCTTTCAGTAAACGAAAACCCCGTTATTAGCAAAGGACTTCCCCATTTATGAAGCTGATGCTTAGGTAAAGCTGAAGGATCGAACAACTGATGCTTAGGAAAAGCTGAGATCTCTCAGCTTCACAAACAGCTTCATCTTGTTCCCTCCTCTACCCTGTCTGTCCTGCCTGCAGAACCAACTACTATCACCACTGATTGCTCCATAGTCCTCACTAGTCTCCTTGTCCTTTTGTTCCTCTCATCCATCTTGCCTTAATCCGTGCCTTCTGAGCTGCATCCGGG